AGAGTTAAGAACAGTGGCAACACGTGGCAGCAGCACTGTAAGCTGCAGGGATGTGTCCCCCAGCCCTGTTTTACATTTCCATTAGGGTTTCCTCAGCCTTTGTGACCTTGTGACCCCGTGGGGTTAATTTCTGACCGTCAAGGCTGAGTGAAGGCAAGGGGACTCGGGGTGTGAGTGCCTGCTGCCCTGAGGCAGCCACTTGATAGCTGGGAACTGCTTCCCACAGCAGCCACATCGAGTTACACTCACCCTATTGCATTATAAATACCAGAATTAGCCTTGCTTAATTATTTARAACTATAGATTAAAAGCAGACAAAGGCTCTTTGCCTCCTTCCCAGAGCACACATATCATTTATCAGTGGCACGGTCGCCTGGTGACAAGCACAGGGGAGCGTGCCAGGTCCATCGGTATGAGGTGCTCCCGAGCTGCTGGCACAGCTGGAACCAGAGGAGAGGAAAATCATGGTGGAGATGGGAGCTGGTGCCATCTCACCCAGGGAGGGTAATGTTTAGCAGCTGCCAATCTTTGGGCTCACATTATTATTATTATCATTATTAMCGTCATCATCATCCATCAGCAGGGCAGTAAGCCACAGCAGTCATTAGGCAAATGTGAATTACAGGTATATTTTGTTCCAGGTTGCTGTAACAGCAACACACAGATTACTGGGGTGATAAAGCACATTTTGTGGGCTTGGCTTCAGGGTCTCATCTACCAAAGGGTGTCCAGGCACTGTGAGCCTGCCCAGCAAGCAGCACCCACATCTGACTCACCAAAGGTGGCACCTGGGTGCCTCCCTCTGCCCTGAACCCACTGASCAGGCAGAAAGGGGCTCCCTACAGCAAGTGCCTGACTTTGAGGTGAAACCTCTTGTCCTCCTGGCAGAAGATCCCCCACAATACAGGTGCACACCTGAAAGCTGCTGTCATCACATAAAGTTTTGGGGCTTTCAGAGACTGACATGCAATTCTTTCCCATTTTGCTGACCCCAGCTATTCTGTATTTCTAAAATACAGCTAATTGACACTGGAAAAATAATGCAAATTAGGAAGTACTATCAATTGAAGAAATCGAAACCAAAGACAAACTTTCAACTTCATTTTTTGTAGGACTTAACATACAGCATGACCTTTTCTGCCATTACTCTCTCACAAGAAAAGCTGYAGAGCCAAACTCCAGCTCCACTTGAGATGGGAAATACATTGACAGTTCATACCTTACAATTAAAAAAAAAAATTAACTTCTGGTTAACAGGTAGARCTGTGCCAGTGCTTAAAAATAACAGAGGCCAGTTTAAAGATCCCACACACGAACATGCAAATTCTTGCATCCTTCCCAAGAGGGGTGTGAGGGACAGTACCCTCACCCAGAGGAAAGGAGGGCTCCCCCAGGAATGGATGTTATTGGGGTCTGTARCCCAGAAAAGGGAGGGTTTCCTCACCACAATTGCAGTTAAAAGTGTCAGAAACTCACATAATTTCCCAGGCTCGGGTTGCTTGTGTAAATAGCTTTAAACTCGCTCYGCTGCCCCACACTGAAGTGTTGGTTTTGCAGCCTCCTGACTTGCAGGACSTGTATGACCAGCTGCTTTCAGCAGCCCTTCATTAATTTCTTGGTTCTTTAAAAAAGACACATTCATTAAGAAATCCCGGGCATCCAGAAAAACAGAGGTTTTTCCCTRTAACCACAATTTGAAGTGATAATTTCTGCTCTGGAAGTGGTCTCTTGGGTTAGTGGTTTTACAAACCCAGATCCAGGGCTCTGACCCTGCACATCCTGAGGTTTTTGCCCAGTCTTTTCCTTTCTGCCAAGTAACTGAGTTTCAGCAATGTCCTCTGAGTTCAGATCCCATTCCCACAATAATGCCTGCTGACTGTTTTTACATGGGTGGCATTCCACAAAGGCCCTTTATCTACCCAGAAAGGAATGCCAATGTAATATTTTGAGCACTTTGGTCATCATCTGGCCCTAATGAAAAACCTCTTCTGAGATGCTCTAGTTTGGAAAATCAGTTCTCAAATGACACAGACAGCAGAAATAAAACACTGTGAACTACGTTTGCATTCTAGATTTCAGCTAAAGTTGAACACTGACCTGTGCTGCAGAAGGCAGCATTGACAGCTTTGCAGTTCAAGGACGCGAGTGGCACGGAAAAGGGTTGAGAGATGTGCAGGGGAAAGAGGAGAAGTCACAGGGGGGAGGATGTCAAGGAGACCTTGGCAAAACACAAGTCAGGCATTTCACATGAAAACCTGCAAAAWGCAGCTGCTGTCCGGCTGCACTCTCCATTCTCCTGTACAGGTGCAGGTTGACAGGTGCTGGGCAGGAGCCCAGACCTCCACCCTGGAGCTTTCTAAACCCAGCAGCTACGGATTAACTTCATTTCCAACCTGTTTAGTTTTTCCCCTTGTAAAGAACAGCTGTAGCCATGTAGGCAGCCATAAGCAGAGCTTCACCCCTCAGGTTACCTGCCCTTTCCAGGACTGTTAATCCCTTTAACATTCCTGGGGATTATTTCCATCCCGACAGGACAGTAGAGCAGGCTGCCAGCAGCAGTGCTCWGTTCTGATGCAAAGGAGCTCACAGGGCAATTCACCACCGAGAGACAAGTTGCTTAATCCTAAATAAATGCTCAATCCTAAATAAATGCTCGGTGAAGGGCATTTCCTCCTTGTGAGGGAAAACCAAAAAGCAACAGCAGCCAAATGAAGCATTGCCGAGCTCCAGCCCTCGTGTCTGATGCCTGTCCTTGGACATGAGCCARTCCTTCACCTCCTCTTCCTCCTCCTCTCCAGGAGCAGGCTAAAGCCTTTCTCCTTCTTCTGGGGTGCTGCACTCAGTGCCTCAGGCAGCACGCCGTGTTTTACACTCCTAGTAGAGCATATTTAATACATATTTGCAACATTCATGCTTTCAAAGGCATTTAGTGCTGTGCCAAAGCTGCCTGATAGCCTGTTTCCCAAAAAGATTGCAGCTGAACATAATCAGAAATKGAAACAATTTGTCCCCGGATTGCAGAGTGATGATTTTATTGCAACTCTCCCAGGAACTGGCAGATTTATAAGTATTTCCAGGTGGCCTGAGCAGGAATTTGGGCTTTGCTTTGGATCAGAACACACCAAGATATTAAAATGTCATTTTTCTCCTCCAGCCAGTTCCTTACCCTGGGGCAGGAGGGTGGCTGGTCTCTGGGCCACCTCAAAGATGCTCAAAATTCCCTGTGTGGTCTCCTGGAAAACTAACAGACTGAAAGCTCCTTTCAAAGTACACTTGAGAGAGGAGATAACTCCATGTGTGAYGTCCAAGTATCTGCCAGGAGCCCTGGCATCCTCATCCTTGCTTTTCACTCACAGAAAACCAGCTGAAAACACACCTTCCCTGGAAATTCTCAAGCAAATGAGGAAAGGGAAAATACCTAAAAGGAAGCAAAAGCCTGAGTGTTGAAGCAAACAGAGCTACTTTTTATAAGCAACACTCCAAAGACCTATTTGAAAGGTCATGCTGTCTTCCTCAGTACAGCAGAGGGTATTAACATCCACGTGTATTTTTTTGTTTATATCTTGCCAAGAACAATATAAAAATGTCCGACACCTTTTGCTGATTTATGATGGTGGCCAGGAGGGTGCCAGAGCAGAGCCTTGTTCACTGATCTACAGCTGAATCATGCAAAAACAGACATCCTGCTGTAAATCCACTGCAGAGACCTGGCTTGATTTACACCTCCAGCACCATAAATAATGACARAAAGCAGCCTGATAGCACTCTGTCTCCCTTACACAGTCATGAATTACATCAGGGCTTGAAGATGATAGATCTACTCCCCAACATTTTGCACCCAGTCCTATTTGCCAGCCTGCAGGAGAAAGAATGCCCTGTCCTTTCCCCCAGGATAACCCCAAGTTGTGTTCCAGGCACATCAGTATTTTTATATTCTCATTTTTCTTTTTCTTCTCAGAGCAAATGAAGACATTCCTTGAAYTGTTCTTGGCTGAGGGCTTCTGAAAGTTTAAAGTGCTATTCTTGTAGAGAGGTTTAAGACTCTTTCCAGTGGCAGTCAGGGCTTTGACTTTGTCCCCAGGGCAGCAGAACAGACACCCACGGGAAGCCAAACCCTCGAGGTGGGTGTCTAGGCACATCGAGTGCAGTGAAAACCAAGCACAGAGGTACCTGCTGTGCCCTGGCCCCCGCAGTTTATTCAGGCAAATTGCACTCCTCGTGAGGACTTTCACACACTGGTTTAACAGAACCTGGCCAGAAAAACTTCCAGTCGGTTTCAGTTCCTCCCACTCTTTTCTTCTCAGGTTTTTTCTTAATTTGTACTAGTTCAAGGGAAAAGTTCCCCATCTGCCTTCAGCAAATAGGTTGATAAATTGCTGCTTTTTGCAAGGCTCAGTCATGCAATGTTAGATTGCTGCAGTCTGGAAATAACCACGCTAGCCCATCCAAAACCTCCAAACCCACCCTACTGGGTGTTAGACCCATGGAGATGTGAAGAAAGCCTGCCCAAGCAAATCTCCCAGGATCTGGGTCTTGGGTAGGACAGAAGGGACTCCCACTTCTGAGTTGCAAAAGGAAAGCCATACATCAAGGAGGCAGGGCAAAACAGTATTTAATAAGTAACAGTGCTATACCAGTGCCCCAAGAGYTAGCACAGCTTAGCAACAGGACCCRAGAGCTAATTGGTCCAGAGAAAAATACCAAAGTCACTTGAGTTGCAGCCATTTACACACTCATGCTGATCCTTCAGGCTTGGTCAGCTTTGTAATCCTTCCACGCTCACTGCTTGCTGCATTATSCCCCAGCAGAGCACATCAGGTGGATTTAAGGTGACAAATCCAAGATGAACATGTCCCAGCCCTTCTCCTGACATRCATCAGGACTCGGTACCAGTACACAAGCAAGTGTGGGCATCTGTGTCACTAGAGGCAGCTCTGGGCTAAACAACAGCACAGGAACAGTGGGAAAGGGCAGTGGGATAGCATGGTGACATTGAACATAGTCTGTTTGTATAGCTTCCAAAAACAGTGTTTCAATTAAAAACACCTGACATTTTATTGAAGTTACTCCATGGAGAGGCCTTTTTTGTTTGAAAAATGAAGACACAGCTTTGCCATTTGAAATAGGAGTTCAACCATTCCATTCATGCCAAAACAAACCCTTTGCTTTTGTACCTTCCTTCCTTCCTTGTCTTTTCTCTGCCTCTTCTGTGAGAAAAAAAAAATAGAAGTACAAGAAAAAATGAAGCAATTTTACCCCAGTGAAAATCTGATATGTTTTCTCTTTGTTCAAAACCTGGCTTTCATCTAACAAAAATCAGCCATGAAATTGCAGAGCCTTAACCCTTGGCTGTTCCTCAGTCCCTGCATCTCTCTGGAAGGCAAGGCTGAGTTTCAGCCTGGGGAGTCCAGCCCTGCAAGGGTTTGAGTCAGCCTGGCACTTGCCACCAAACATCAAACCACGCCACCTTTCCTTCTGCCAGCACTGATGTGTGATCCTAGAGGAAAATAATGCGGTACAAAAAAATCACTGGTTCCAGCTTCCAAGCGCCCTTTAAATATGTACCGAACTATTCACCCCAATTACACTCCTGTAATGGGCTCTGATTTGTTTTCATTTGTTCCCAAAGCAGTAGGGCACTGGCCACATTAACATTCAACGAGAAGTTGTTTGATATTGAATCTTTTCTTCAGYAGTATTATTCCTTACACAATTCTGTTGATTGCAATCCACTTCACATTTTTAAGTGCTTACTGACTATGAAAGAATGACCTAGCCTTCTTTCTCTTGCCTTTTTTTTATTGATTTCTCTTTTTAAAAGGTTTTATTCCTTTTATACATGAGATTGAAATAAGAGAAGGAGGCAACATTACTGAGCAACTGTTTTTCTTCCACCTCCATCAACCCATATAACTTCACACTAGGCCTCAAAAAATACTGTAATAATGAGACACTTAAAGACATGATGCTGCCTACACCCTTTTTCTGGGACATTTTTGTTCTTGCTGGTAAACTTCCAAATTGTTCAAGTGAATAGCCAGGAATTAATTGCTCTTTCTGAACCCCTGATTAGACCATACACTGAATAAATGGAGGCAGGCCTACTGTGCTCCTCATTTAAAGACACAGCCCACCACATGCAGTTTGTCTTATAACTTGTGCTTTGCACTCATTTTGTATAGGAGCTTTTTGTAAAGAAAGCATGTAAGGGACTTGGAAAACACCAACAGTGAGCATGCCCTGTGGTTTGCCTGAAATCCAAGCTGCCATCCCTTCCAAAACAGTGGGCTCTTGTTCTTACATCCAGAACATACAAATTATTGCAGCATGATCACAGACTGCATGGGCGAAGGATGCTTTTCTTGGCACTGGACTCGATCCTGATGAATAGGTCAGCAGGATATCAGCAAAACATTTCCTTGACGAGAGGTTTCAGATACAGCAGGACTTCCTCTGGCCAGTGTTTTAAAAGCCCCTTAAATCYCACAGCATCCCCTTGTGCTATGGAACCAACAGCCTCCTCCAACACACCCAGAGCAGCAGCTCAACACAGTYCACATCCATGGTTGCTTCCAGTTTTAGTTAGACCTATCTTGCATTAATTAATCCTTGGCACTAAATTCTGCAGCCACTGAAGCGAGTRGCTGGCAAGTAACTTAAGTGATCTAATTAATATGTGTCTCATCAACAAGGAAAAGGGAGTATTTTTTAAAACCTCTAAAAAACCTGCACTGGCACATGAAGGCATGTGCACTCAGGCACTTACACAGGCGTTGAGCAGCCAGGACAAGCACCAGCTCTTCTCCTCTGTCTTGCCCAGGGTTCTCACATCAAGCAGAGTGAGATTTCTCATGCAAACACCTTTTTTCTTCCAGCATCGATGTACACGGAAATACAGCGGGAGCGACCAGATGGTGGGAATATCCTGACTCACCCAGACTACATAGATGGAAACCCAGACCTTATCAAACCTAAAAAGCTCCTAAATCCTGTAAAAGCCTCGAAGAGCCATCAGGAGCTGCACAGRGAGCTGCTGATGAACCACAAAAGGTAAGAGGAGGTCGCAGCCTGCCACTGGAGCAGTCTAAGAGGAGCTGAGCCATCAGGGCTCAGGAGCTGAGGACAGGTGCCACTGACAGACGGCAGGCTGGGAGAGCACAATAAATCCCCTAGCTTGCAAACAAACTCCTCTTTTGCTGTATCCTTTCCTCTTTTCTGTGATGTGACAGTTTCTTTTAAAAGAAAAGTAGAACAAAAAGTTCCTGTTCTACCAACCTGAAGCATTGGCTGGCACTTTTTAGAGTCACGAGCACTGGAAGATGCAAGGCATCCCCACAGCCCCTTTCTGGTGTCCCTTGGAGGTTTTCTGGTTTTTCTGTCTCCATCACTGATTTGCCAAATCCCCAGCAATGTACACCATTCCCGTGCACTTGAAGGTTAACCCAGAGGCAGGAAGAAGTGCAGGCTGGATGCAGCCACTGAAAGCTGAGGTAGCACTGGGGTGAGATTATCTGTACAAGAAGGCTGCCCACTGACTCCCTAAATAYCACATGGGTAAAGACAGGCTAGAATTTATATTCCTGACTTCCTGCCCCATCAATCCAATTTAGCTCTTTGAGGGTACAGATACAACATAGGAWAATCACACCAATGATCCAGAACCCACAACTACACCATTCGTTTGCGGCAACTGTCTGAACATCAGTGCAATAAAATCATATTCTGTTCAGAGGCTTTTTAGCACAGCAAGAAATCTGCTGGCTTTATATTGACATTTTCTGAACACCCTGAAATACCCTGACACAATAGCTCTTTTGCTGCCTAATTAAAAGGAGCACAGCCTCTGTTCTAAAGGGCTGCAGTCATCACAAGAACCAGACACGTATATTAATTCAGCGAACAATCAAGCCTGCCAGCAGGGTGCATTAATCAATACTGGCACTGGCTGGGCTTGGGTTTGATTTGATTTTCCCAGAATCAGAAGAATTACAGGGACCTTTCTCTGGCATCAAGGCAGATATAACTATACCAGCCCGATATTTTTAAGTCTCTGGCTTGAGAGTGATCATCTCCTCCCTAGTGATACTGCTCAGTTTAAAGGGTCACCCACTAGCACTGGCTTTGATCTCACAGAGCATTATTCCAGCCYCACCATGATGGAACAAAGGAACAAGAAATGCCTGCAATGGAAGCAGCAGGGAGGAAAGGCAGCAGAGGAGGTGCAGACCCCATGACATCAGAGCTGGACCTCACACTGGCAAGCACAAAGTACATCATCTCAGTGTGTTCCAGTTCTGTGCTTACCACCGTGTTACATCCATGTGTGCCCTTGYGTACTGGCAGGAGGCAGCTCCAGCACAGCCATCCTGCATCACCTACTCACGTGGCCCCTCTCAAGCATCAATTTAAGTCTGTTTTGGCGCTGACTTCCCAGGTATTTTTCAGCAAATATGTGAAACAAACCCTACTCCAAAAAGTAATCCATTGTTGCTGGTTTCTTGTCATTTTCAAATCCACCCGTTTTCCTTCCTGCTAAATGTCTCTCCCCTCTCTCCCTCTTACTACAGAGGGAGAGAGGGGAGAACAGGAGAGAGAAGGATCTATGACTTGCTCCTGTTTCTGCTTTGGTTGGTTTTTTTCCCCTCAAGCAGCAGTGAGAAGCAACTCAAATCAGCAGCTTGTGTAACACAATCCTTATCTTAGTCAACACCTCTGGGCACTAACAACASAGGCTGATTAAATCAAAGAATAGTAACAAATCCACAGGCAACATTGCAAGCTGTGTCTCCAGCAAGCCAAGGCAGGATTTCCCYCTCTCAAACCTTGGGAAAAACAATTTTTGCAGCATCCAAGTTGTTCCTGCCTTCAAAAACCATCATGAAAGTTCTGGGGATGAGGCTATGGCTGCCTTCACTGATGTTGCTGTGAACTTTGTCCTGTCATAAAGCAAAAAAACCAAAAAGAACTTACAATAGGAAGTATTGGAAGGGTGCAAGCACAGGGCCCCAGCTGTGCTGTGACAGTGCAGAGGTTCCCTGTTTCTGGAGAGTGTTCCCATCTCCTGCCTGCCAGTTCAGATTCTCATGATGTTACGTATCACCTCAGCAYCTGCCACCCTGCCAAGAAATCCATAGGCCAAGGGGTTTCATGCCTCTACTCTCAAAAAAAATAGTCCAAAACCAACCAGCCTTTGGCCAACAGAGACCTCCTCGTGCTGAGGAGAAGCTTTGCATTAACGGCACTCCCCAAAGCCCTTAGCACAGACATGGGGAGATCCCCTCCTCTTTCCACACAGACCTGCCCCGACAGGAGCACCAAACACCCCCGTAACTACTGCCATAAATACTTCAGGTATGGCAATATGCAAAGRGTGAGGTTTCTGAAATTTGTTCAGGGAGCACCTTCCATCTCTTTACCACACATTTATGCCTTGCCTGCATGGCCCTGCTGTGTCTCCTTTCCTGTGACTTCACCCTTCACAGAACAGGGGGTCACCTGAGATGCTTCAGCTGGCCAAAGGGGAGTCAGTTGCGCCATCAGCAAACCCTCCAGCTTCCAGGAGAAGAGGACATTTCATTTTGGCCTCTTGATCCAAACTATGTCAGCAGAGAGATCGCCAGYCCCTAGCTTCGAAGCAAAGCTTCAGACGAAGCAAAGCTTCAAGGCTTCAGACGGGATGCGCGGGGAGGGAAGGAGCTGCCAGGACAATTACTGCAGCCCAATGACTACCCCTGCTGGTGGGAAAGAAATCGTCATTACTGTAAATGTACTCCACGCCGCTGAACCTTCATCTGACACCATTAAAACCAGTAACAGCAGGAGCCTACAGAAGGTCCCATTTCCACACCCGACGCAGAAAGCTGTGGTGCCCCGGTGCAATGGGATCAGCAGAACTTCAGGCACCACTTGTGCCCTACATGAGCAGCAAATTGTRCCCACCCCAAGCAGGCAGCACAAGGTACCATCAAGCACCCTCATACCTTGTGGATGGATTTGTGGATCCAAGCTGGTATACAGATCAGGTCTGCCATGTTTCCATTTAGGACCAAGACAAGTTTTGGGGTTGCCAGGCTGGCAGTGGTTACATCCCAGGGTGTAGGTGTTCTGACCCTCATTTATCTGCTTTTTATCCACAGAGGTTTGGGTGTGGAGAGCAAGCCAGAGCTGCAGCGGGTGCTGGAGCACCGACGGCGAGAYCTGCTCATCAAACAGAAGAAAGAAGAGGAAGAGGCAAAGAAATTGCAGTCTCCYTTTGAAAAAGAGCTATTAAAGAGGCACCAGAGGCTGGATCAGGTAGAACTGAGCTTTCAGCCATCCCTGCATTATGCCAACCACCTGACAAATGGCACAGGGGACATGGGTGGGCTGAGACTCCATCCAAGGTATAGAATTGTTGCCCCTCCATAAAACAGGAGCCACACCACATCCTCCACTGCAGTCCCAAGCAGCTGCAGCACTTCCATCCTCACGTGGATCCATCACGCTTGTATCACCTCACCCAGGATCCCCATGACTGGCCCTGGGTCTCCTCCAGATCCCACACAGTGTCCTTAGGGTGTTTTTTCCCAGATCAAAGCACCCTAAATAGCATGGGGGGTGTTGCAGCAGCCACCACAGGGCTCAGGACCCTGCAGTGTGGGGTGAGAGGCTGCAGAAGTGCAGRGAGGAACATTATTGCAATCTTACCCAAACTGCTTTTGGGAACATTTCCTGGCATGTACCATGGCCAGAATTCTGCCTGGGGAAAGCGATATGCACTGTGCACTTGTCAGCAGCACAGCCATGCCCTGGATACTCTGTGCCTGCCCTCCTACCTAGACAAGTGCTAGTAGTGAGCAGGCTCACCACCACTGAGAATAAAGTCATTCGCTCTCCTACTTGCCAGTATTTGCACTGTAGATGGGTGAAACCAGTTTGTTTAATTAACAACATAACAACAATGTCCATCAGGCTGAGATCACTTGAAARTCAAAGCCTGGCACTCTCAGAGAASAAGGAATATGAAACAAGGTGGTTAAGGGAAGATCCATAAAGACTTCACATACAAAAGTAAAAGTACAATTACTTACCCCACCCTCAGACAATACCTAATCTTGAGAGTTTTCCCAGGCTCACAAGCCTCCTTTGCTGGGAAGGATTCAAACCTTCTCCTCTCTCTTCCATGCCAGGTCTGAAGTGACGCCCTCCCCTGCTTTTCTGATGGAGGTATTCCTCCCTGAAGGAAAAAAAGAAATTAATGTTTCAGCAGGACAGAARAGGAGACTAAGGGTGAACATGGGTCTGGTGTGATGGCTTCTAAAAAGAGAGCCACAACATGTGCACTACACACTCATTCAGCTTTGAGCAATAGTAACTGGATCCAGAAATAATGAAGTCTCCTGTTTCAATATAGCTGATGCCCTTTTGTCCTTTCTTGTGTACAATGACTTCTTTTTTACAGCTGGAGAAAGAGCAAGAGAAGCAGGAAGACCATGCACCAGAATTCATTAAAGTCAAGGAAAACCTGAGAAGAACATCAACGGTGACAGGGGACGAGAAAGCAGCATAGCTTCTGCCAAAAGCCAACGGGATCCTACCAAGGCCAACACCCCACTAAAATCTCTGTACATGGTGGACATTCCCACACACCTCCGGGGCTACTTGCTGTTATTAACACTTGCTCCAGTAGAAGGCACAGGAAAGGTTTGCCCAGACCAGGAGGGAATCACTGTGGAAAAAGTGCGGTATTCACCAAAGTACTCACACAAGCGGATGCAGAGGGAATGGTTTTATTTCCCCCCTAGACTGTGGGTGCACACTAACCACCAGCTAACTCTTGGTTAACTCTAGAGACACAGCAAATATTTAAAACAGGGAAGTCTGTGTAGGAACCACTTGGGGGACTCCTGCTTCTCCCTGGAAGCAGATTGCCAGGCACAAGGGGACAAGAGGGCAGCTGCAGCTCTGGAGAGCCTCCTAGAAACCTGGTAATTAAAAGGGACAGCCTGTGTGTTACTGAGAACAGCCCAGGTGACCATAATGGCTTTCTCAAGGGTCACTGGCTTTGCACCAGTGTGCCAGTCAAGCCTGGCTGAGGCTGTGTGTCCCAGCAGCACACCTGTACTATCTGAAAAACCAACCTCTGTGTGCCCTTACCAGTGCAGSACAGGCAGGTGCAGCTATACTTCAACAAGCACCTTTAAACTGCATTCCAAACCTGTTTGAAAGTGGTTTTTTAGACAGTTCCATGCTCAGGCAGAAAATGCATTGGACTGTTCCATCAACTCCCCACATGGAAGGCAAATGCTCTGTGCAGAAAGCAGAGACTGGGGTGTTCCTAGCATGGTGTCAGTGGAAGCATGCAGTGACCAGATCCCTGTGGATGCAGCAGACAGACAAACTGCTTCTTGCCCCTGCACTACTGAGCTTCATCCCCTCACCCAGCAGTGGACATGTGCTACCMTAGGGACCCAAAAGAAATGTCCTGTGATGGAGAGGGGGTGATGTGGTCATGTCCCACCAGTGTCAGGCTGTCTGGTTAAGCATCCTGCAAGCAGCTGGCACCTGTAGGTGCCAGGGGCTCCGAGGCATGTAGGTCCTGACACAAAACTACTTGTCAGTGCTTCTCATCCCCTTCTCCAGAGGTCAGAGCTGCCTCATTGCASCTGCCACTTTGCAGAGCTAAAGCTCTTCTTGCTGCTGGTAGAGCCAAACTGAGGTGAATGGTGCTTTTGCATCATGCATGAACAGAGCTTGTCACACTTATGGAGTACCTGTGTACCCTGGGATATCCACAYGTAGAGCTAAAAGTGTGTTTTCAGGAATATCTCAGCTTCTTGCTTCTCACATCAACCCTGATACAAAGCCTGAACAGCATAACTCACCGACTGCCTTTGGACACTGGCTCATGAATGGCCTCAGTGGACCTCATCAGCTGGGCAGGTAATACCTGGTTAATCAACACTTATTATCCACATCTTCAGTGGATCTATATGTAACTTAAGGGAAACTGGGCATTTATACATATTTATTAAAAAGTTACTAATCCGTTCTCTAGTCTCCCTGGTCCAGTGGGGTGTTTCAGCTCAGAGGGCTGTCRTTTGACCTGGCAGCTTGAGTGAAACATCTGAGCCACATCACATGTCAAGAGCAGTAACACAGGTATGGAGCTTTTGTGACAGACTATAAAAGCCCTTAACTCAACTTCAGTCCCTGAGCACTCCATCTCTTGGCACTGTCTCTGCTGTAGWTTTTTTGTTCATATGCTTATCCTACACATGAATTTATTTTAGAAATCCAGTGCATATCGTCACCATGGGTCAAAAAAGATTTGAAAGAATCTGTTACAACCTTTCCAATTGTGACGCTTTTTATACAGGTTATGATTAAAGCCATAAGGAAGAAGCA